TCTTACCCAGGGTCTTCCTTCTTGCTTAGCTTCTTTAGATGTACAGATTTTAGTATGTCTATCCTATGTTATATGTCTATTAACCACTTATAAGTGAATATATACCATGTGTGTCTTTCTGCTTCTGGGATACCTCACTCAGGATTATCTTTTCTAGTTTCCACCATTTGCCTGCAAATTTCACGATTTCCTTGTTTTAAATTGCTGAGTCATTTTCCATAGTGTAAATGTACCACAATTACTGTATCCATTCCTCAGTTGAGGGACATCTGGGTTGTGTCCAGGTTCTGGCCATTACAAATAAAGCTGCTATGAACATGGTTGAGCAAATGTCCTTGTTGTGTACTTGAGCATATTTTGGATATATGCCTAGAAGTGGTATAGATGGATCTTGAGGTAGCAGTATTCCTAATTTTCTGAGAAAGCGCCAGATTGACTTCCAAAGTGGTTGTACCAGTGTACATTCCCACCAGCAATGGAGGAGGGGTTCCCTTTCTCCACAACCTCTCCAGCATGTGTTGTCACTTGAGTTTTTGATCTTGGCCATTCTGATGGGTATAAGATGAAATCTCAGGGTTATTTTGATTTGAATTTCCCTGATGACTAAAGATGTTGAGCATTTCTTTTAGTGTTTCTCTGCCATTTGATATTCCTCTATTGAGAATTCTCTGGTTAGCTTTGTAACTCATTTGCTAATTGGATTACTTGATTTATTGTTTCTTTTTAACTTCTTGAGTTTTTTATATATTCTGGATATTAGCCCTCTGTCAGATATAGGGTTGGCAAAGATCCTTTCTCAGTATGTAGGCTGTTGTTTTGTTCTGTTGATAGTGTTTTTTGCTTTACAGAAGCTTTTCAGTCCCATTTATTGATTGTTGCTCTTAGAATCTGTGCTGTTGGTGTTCTGTTCAGGACGTTGTCTCCTGTGCCAATAAATTCAAGGCTTTTCCCCATTTTTTTCTTCTAGCAGGTTTAGTGTATCTGATTTAATGTTGAGGTCTTTGATCCACTTGGACTTTAGTTTTGTACTGGATATTAAATATGGATCTATTTGCATTTTTCTACATGTAGATATCCAGTTAGACCAGCACCATTTGTTGAAGATACTATCTTTTTTTCCATTGTATGGTTTTGGCTTCTTTAAGGAAATTACACCTGTCACAGTAGCCACAAATATCATAAAGTACCTTGGTGTGACTCTAAACAAGCATGTGAAAGACCTGTTTGAAAAAACTTTAAGTCTCTGCAGAAAGAAATTGAAGAAGATATCAGAAGATGGAAAGATCTCCCGTGCTCATGGATTGGTAGGATTAACATAGTGAAAATGGCCATCCTTCCCAAAGCAATCTACAGACTCCATGCAGTTCCCAAAATACCAACTCAATTCTTTACATAACTGAAAGAACCATTCTCTATTCCATAAGGGAAAACAAAAAACCTGGAATTGTTAAAATAATCCTGTACAATAACAGATCTTCTGGAGGTATCTCCATCCCTGATCTCAAGCTGTACTCCACAACAAAAGTAAATAGTAAAGTTGCATGGTACTGGAATAGAACAGAGTGGTAGATCAATGGAATCAAATAGAACACCCAGAAATAAACCCACACACCTACGGCATTAGCCCTTTGTTGGATATAGGATTGGCGAAGATCTGTAGGTTGTCATTTCATCCTATGGACAGTGTCCTTTGCCTTACCGAAGCTTTTCAATTTCAAGAGGTTCCATTTATCAATTGTTGATTTTACAGGATGAGCTGCTGGTGTTCTGTTCAGGAAGTTGTGTCCTGTGCCAATGAGTTTGAGAGTCTTCCCCACTTTCTCCTCTAATAGATTTAGTGTATCTGCTGTTATATTGATGTTGTTGATCTACTTGGATTTGAGATTTGTTCAGGGAGATAAACATGAATCTATATGATTTGTCTGCATGTGGATATCCAGTTAGACCAGGACCATTTGTTGAAGATGCTGTCTTTTTTCCATTATATGGCTTTGTCTCTTTAGTAAAAAAAACCAACAAACCAGGGCCCAGAGGGGCTTGCTGAGACTGGCACATCAACCAAGGACCATGCATGAACTGGACTTAAGCCCCCTATAAAGATGTAAAAGATGGGCATCTTAGGTTTGATGTGGGTCCTCTAGTAAGGGAAGATGGGACTGCTTCGGACAAGGACTCACTTGCCAGCTTTTTGATCACTTCCCCCTGGTGAAACTGCCTTGCCAGGCCATAGTGGAATTGGACATATTCAGTCTTGACGTAACTTGATGAGCTGGGGCGAATAGGGAAAGAGGTGGGGGGGAAAGGTGAGTCTGGGAGGAGAGGGGTCATGAATCTACAACCAGAATGTTGTAAGTGTTGAAAGTGAATAAAAAACAAATTAATTAATTAAAAATAAAATAAAATTGAACAGAAAAAAATTACCCCTACTATATAACCTCATAATACCAGGGGTCTTTTCATGAGAATATTCTCTTCTCCAGAGGTCTGTAGTTTATAGTCTTGGTACCAGAGGGATTATCTTTATAAAAATATCAATATCAATTAAATGTTACTATGTAAAGTTTGTTAGCGTTTTTTTTTTTTTTTCCCTCCCGAGACAGGTTTTTCTGTGTAGCCCTGGCTGTCCTGGAATTCACTCTGTAGGGCAGGCTGGCCTTGAACTCAGAGATCTGTCTGCCTCTGCCTCCCCGAGTGCACCCCCCCCACAACATTTTTTTAATGCTTTCTTTTTTGGTTAAAAATACAAAAAATAAATGTGCCCAGTGACCCTGTGAGTGCTCTGCTCCCGGCCAGTTATTCAGCTTTCCTTTCTGTTGCAGGTCTTTGCACTCACATCTCTGCCTGAAATGCATTTTCTTGCACTTTCCCTTGAGTGACAGCCTCTGTCTCTCAGGTCCCAGCCCCAATGTAAGTACTCTTGATGGATGCTCCCTCTCCGACCTCTCCGACTACACCAGGATGCTTCATTCAGTTTTTCCCTATCTCCCTGAAACTTATTTTGGCCATGGTGTTCACTAGGACAGTCAGGGTGGAGATAAAATTTGTCCCTGGACAACCAGTCAATGTCCAATCACACAGGCATGCTCAGCTGAGTAGACAACAGAGGACTGAGTGGATGGGTCTGGATGTACTGGTCACGTAGTAAGTAGGTGTTCAGTGTCACAACTAAAAAAAATGGTAGATTTTCTCTTTAATTCATATTAACTAGGAGATGGATGAAGACAAAGGTTGAGTGTATCAGCTTATTATGGGAGTCCAGGTTCAAAACCCTATTCTATCACTTGTGTAGCAATGGGAACATTACTATGAAAACCCCTCTACAAGTTATCTTCCGCAAATTATGTGCAGCGGGGTTTGAAGCTGTGACCTGCCAATTATTATTTTACTCTTTATTTTATTTTTATTTATGTGAGTGTTTTGCCTGCGTCTGTGTGTGTGAATTGCCTATGTGACTGGGACCCACAGAGGCCAGGAGAGGGTACTGGATTCCTGCAAATGGAATTATGGACAGGTGTGAGCCACCATATGGGCGCTGAGAACCAAACTCTGGTTCTTCTGCAGGAACAGCAGTTTCTCTTACCCTCTGGGCCAGCTCTTCAGCTCCTGACCTGCTAATTGTTAATTGTGTAACTTGGTTTAAATTATGTGCGTGGTTTAGGCTCCATCCACCAGTAATGTTTACATACCTACCGGTCTCTCATGGGACAAAGAAGATTAAATGTGTCTAACATCTCTGTCTATCTCTATCTATCTATCTATCTATCTATCTATCTATCTATCTATCTATCT